CATCGCTCATTTAATTTTATTTTCTCTTTTATCTAAAAATTTTTTAATGATTTTTTTTTTATACAAATTTTCATCTTTCTTAATCTTGAAAGATTTGTTTGCATTATCGAATTCTTAATACTCGCAAAAACAAATTTATTATTTTTTTTTTATTTCTGGCTTTTTAATAGTTTTTATTTTCATAAATGAGTTTTAAACAAGTTTTCTTCAAAAAATATGTCTTTAAATGAAATTTTTCATTTCTAAGAATTCGAATTACAAAATTAAACGTTTATTTAAATTGTGGTGATGAAAAACTTTTTCCCAAAAAATGTAATATGAATGAGGATTCATTTTATATCATTTAATTAGGTTTATGTTTGGTTTGGAAAGTAGAAAAAAACTTCTTATAGGATTTCGATCATTTGAAATTTATTAAGGAAGGAAGGAAGTTAGAATATATTTTCATCGTTAATATTCTCAAATTGTTAGGTATTACAAATTTATCTAGATAGAATCGCATTAGCTTAGCATTTAATGACGCTTTAAGAGGCTGCCTGGATGTGATTTTGTACTGTTTTTAAAGAAAGTTGGGTTTTTAACGATCTTCGAAAATTTAAATTTTCACACGATTTCTTTTAAAGATTTAAATTTTAAAAAAATCGTTAAAATTCCAAAATTTTTACAACATTTGGGGCCGTTCACTTATTACGTTACGCAAAACAACGACTTTTTTCACCCCCCTCCCCCCTTGTTACAATATGTTACAACTCACAACCCCCCCCCCCCCCCCCACCTGAACGTTCATAATTTATTTTATTTTGATAATTTTTTATATATAGTTATTAAAAACAATTATAACAAAAACTATGCATTGCTTACCCTGTTTTTTCGTTATAAGCTAGTAGCTTAGAAGAATAAAAAAGTGATTTTTTTGGCTCACTAGTAGCTTAGTAACGAGTAGTAGCTTAGTAAAGAAATTGAACTTCAATGAAAATTTTGAATTTTTTAACTTAATTAAAGAAATTTTGCTATCTTCTCGATTTTATTTCATTGACAATGTCATAAGGCATTTACACTGATACTTAGAAAGTTGAAAAAGATTAATTATACTTTATTTTTGGTAGTAGCTTAGTAAAGATTACAAAAAAATTTCAAATTCAAAAAAACTTTACTAAGCTAGTAGCTTAGTAACGAGTAGTAGCTTATAACGAAAAAACATGGTAGCTATTAAAAGTGATCTGGACATTCATAAATCATTAAAAAGGTGGAAAATTTAAAAAAATGTTTTTTGTGTGAATTTGTAAACAAATTTTTTTTGTGAACTTTTTTTACTGAACTTTAGAACGTTACATACTTCTTAACACCCCCCCCCCCCCCCCCCTATGTTACATTTTGTTACAATTTTTCAAACCCCCCCTCCCCCCTAAAATGCGAACGTAATAAGTGAACGGCCCCTTTAGTATTCATGTTAAAATCTTGAACTGTCAATAATATCCCCAAAAAACAGCAACAGAATCCAAAATCCACACCGAAGCAACCAACAACCAACCCAGAACGCCATCTCCTGAATTAGAAGTAACGAAGAATGATAAATAATCGGAACCACAAATGACGTAAGAAAGCCAATGAGATTCTCCAAATATGAAAGTTTTCGATAGACGTACGACAGTAATTAGCAACATAAAGTCATGGAAAAAGTTTTCTTTATTTTCTCCTCATGAAAAGCGTTTTTATCTTCATTTTTTTTCAACTTTTCATAAATAAATTTTCTTATAAAATTTTGGATTCACTTTTTTTTTTGTTCATCATAAGGCAGCATTTCTAAAAAATATGTATTTCTTATATATCTCATTTTACATGATGATTTCGCGTCAAAATATTACAAATTTTTAATCCTCTTTTAGTTTTTGTTCTGATAAGTATATAAATAGGATTTTTAATAAGTTAAGTAGATAGTTCTTCCTTATTTTGGCTGATTAAGCAGCATAAAATGACAATTGATGAAGTTCGTTTGAGTCATTTAGAGATGAGGAACTCATGTCGATGGAGTTTAATTTATGCGGTGGGACAGAAAATAATTTAATTTATATATTTCATGATAATTTAACGACCACAAAGTCATAGTTGCCTAGATAATACTTTTTGTGTGTGGAACTTATTGCTTGATTTGTGAGCTAGTTTTGATAATAATTGATGTTGTTTGGATCGTAAAGATGGGTTTCTTGTATTAAATGACTGTTGTATGGTTCACATTACTTGTCTAAACCAAAATGAACCATACAAATGTTTCTAAAACCATAGAAATTCAGAGGATTGTCACATTTTTAAAATCAATACAAAGCTTTGGGGCTGTTCACTTATTACGTAACGCGAAAAATTGACTTCTTAGACCCCCCCCCCTCGTAACAAAATTTGTATGAAAAAAAAATTTCCTTGTTTGAATCGTAACAAAATCTTAGACCCCCCCCCCCCTCCCCCTAAAAGCATTACGTAATAAGTGAATGGCCCCTTTACAAATTCATAATATTGAAACTGTTGTGAGGTTTTGGTGATGAATTGAAACTGTTTTAAGGTTTTGATGCTAAATAGATTATTGCATTAACTTTCGGACCATTTAAAACACTTTTTGAGCTAAACGGCGCTATTTAAAGCTATTGTTTCAAAAAAAAACGTGGTAAAAATAATTAAACTCTTTCAAATACATAAAAATTATTAAGATTCTCATGATTATATCCACATATATTCCACAGAAGCTCCAAACACATGTCATTATCTACAAACTTGCGCACAAACCAGCAATAAACAACAAATTGAGCTCTTTATATCAACCGCAAGTAGAATTTTCGATATATCCACAATATGTTGTATGTAATCAATAGAATTACTCATCTCTGTGGCTCATGACACGAACGAATTGTGAAGAATGTTGTGGATAGACAACAAATTTGATGTTCATATTCTCTAATGTGATGACAATGATATTATGTAGGCGAAATGATGAAGGAATAAAAATTATTCTTTTACGATTCAATACTAGCGTCACACACGACTAAAAGGAGACTTATAATCTATGAACAATTTATATTTTTTTGGCTTTTGGAATTTTTAATAATTTTTTTTTATGGGATGGAGATGAATTTTTAAATGCACGGAAAAAAATGTTGCCATTCAGAGAGGCCAATAAGATCGAAAATTCATTAAATGTTTTTTTAAAAAGTTTATAACAAAATTTTTCATGCAGCATTTTCCTCAAAATCCTCTTTTTGGACATTATTCCCTAAATGATTTTATAAATTAATGTTTATTTTTTTGCATTTTTTTTTCTCACGAGCGGCATGGCAGCCTAATGATTGACATTGTCATTATGTGTAGGTTGGAAAGTCAGTCTTAGTTACATTCAAGCTTTAGATAAACAAAAATGAATTACGTGACTACGATGAAGCTATGATGTTATGTATAGGTTTGATTACATTACATCATGACTTCCATTGCAATCAAGTATCCCTAGATTTAACTAGCAATGACTTCAACAACAACCTATATATAGCAGCCACTTAACTTCCATTACCAATATGTGCTCGCTCATGCCTGACTACTAAGTGATCTCGCAAAAAATACACCGAAAATAATTTTGCATTTAATTTTAAAAGTTCTTGACTTTTTATTATCATTTATTGGGTTTTCATCCTTTTTTTTCATTATTATGCTTTTGCTCATGATACATGATACTTATTAATAGTAAATGATCTAATGACGCTAGTAAACTTTTAACTTTTCTCCTATTAATGATTTTTCTCTTAACGATGAATTTATTTTTTTGTTGTATTTTCAAAAAACATTGCACATTTGTGGATGGATGCATCATTGGAGGACGATTTGATTTCACTTGACTTTCGAGCACACTACTGTATCGTTGAAATTGCCAGAATAGTGATGGCAATAAAACAGTTCTAAGTCCTGATATATTTCTGTAATACCTAATGTGACAACTACTCATAATCATCCTCAAGGAAATTGACCATTTTACCAAATTTATCTAACAACAATGTCAATAGTGGTGCTCTGTACACAACCTTTTGGCAAACATGTGATTATTAATGAATTAAATCAATTAAAATTGTAAAATTTGTTAAGTCCCTAAGATTCTATTGAGGGATGTTCATTAGAGATATCAATTATGAAAGAACAAGCCAAAGCAAACCATCCCATCCAACACAGTTCATCCCATTCAAAAATAGAAAGTAAAGAGAATTTCTTAATCCTTGTATCGAGCGATTTAAAAAGGAGGGGAATTGATTTTTTTAGTCTCTAGATTATCATAAAAACTATAAACGATCTTAATTTTTTTTTTCTTCATTTATGTATGCTTCTTCATCGTAACGAACGCTTAGTAAAGATTATATGCATTTTTTTTATATTATTGAGGTCGCCTCTCATCTACAGAGTTTATTTTATCATTTTTAATTTTTCAAATATTACTTTTAAGAGTGAATAAACAGATTTTTATTAAATGTTTATTCCCTGATGCAATTTTTTATTTAATTTTCATCATCATTAAATTAAGGTTTTTTTTTGCTTTGATATAAGAAACGATTTTGGATATTTTTGGAAGGATTACTGAGAATTGTTGATTTGAAAACTCTACAACAACAATTTGTTTGAATTGGGAATTGTATGGTTTTCAGATGTTTTTTGGCGTAATTTGAACAGTTTTGAACCATTTTTGTTGAATTTCATGTAGTTTTGGTCGAATTTTAAAACCATACAAATGTTTTTGATACAACCTTAACAAATTCGAACCCAATCAACTCTTAAAGTTTTAAATCAACAATTCCTTTTCATCATCCACATCCCATTCTAAAGATATATTTAAATTACTTTCAATCGTCAACATTTTTTTGTTTGGACAAGGTTTGTTTTAGTGGAAATGACATCGTTTATATCTTTTGAAGAAGAGTTTATATTACATCATAAAATGGATTTTTCTCTTTATACATGAATCATTTCTTTATATATAACAATCATAGTCTTTAAGTAGTTTCATTTCATTTTAATAATTGAAGAAAATAATGGATGTTAAGGATGTGTTTATGGGTAAGTTTTGTGAGAATTCGAGTACATATAATTTTATTTGGAAGAATGAAATACCATAAATCTTTAAAAATTGATTTTCTTTACACGTTTGAAATAAAATAATATTAAAGTGTTTTCAAATTTTCATTTTTAAAAAAGTAAATTTGATGGATTTTGGATGGACTTTTTCATTTCGCGTACTAATGAGAAATTATGTGACTTTCATTAACCGTAACCATGACAATTATATTTTATGTATGACGAGAGATAAGAAAACTTTTTTTTGCTTGTTATAGAAATTAAATGTAAGTAGATTTTTTTTTGTAATTAAAAAAGTGTATTTATTCTTCTTTAATGATATTGTTGATTTCTCGAGACCGGTCGCGGTCCATGAAAACGCGGTGGTAATGTCCATGTTGTGGTTCCTGGCTGTCATAGAGATTCTTTCGATGGAACCCAAATTTCCTTTCCTGATTGCGACCAAATTGCTTGTTTTGATTTGCTGTAAATTTCTTCAATTGTATCGCCTTGAATAACAGCTGGAAATATAATATTTCACAGGTCATTTCACCATAAAAATATTCATTCCATTTCCTTACCTGTAAAATATTCTCCAAACTCGTGCTCCATCTTGAGTGCTCGCTCATATGTCTTCTTTGCTTGCTCGTCTGTCATTCTGCGATTCATTTCCCTATAAAAATAAATTTATTTTTATTACAATGGAATTCAAGCATTAAATTTTATGAGATTTTTTTATGGATGGATTGGTATATCCTCCTACTACTCACATAATGGACTCAATGGATTTTGGCTTAATGAAAATTGCGACTGGATACAGTTGAGCTACTTGAAGTCGTTTAATTGCGTTTCCAGACACATCTAAAATGCAGTGCTTTCCTTGCTGTGAATTGAGAAGATATTTCATTAGTTTTAAAATTTTAAAAAGCTTTTGTTTGAATTTCAAATTATTAACGTTTTTCCACGTTTTTCAAAAATTCAAAGCAGAAAAGCCAGAAATGAGGACTAAAATGAAGTCCAAGTCTTTCTGATTCTTCAAACATTATTAAAACATCAAAACGAGAAAATTAATTCGCCCATGAAAAAAAGAATCAAGCAGTCTGAATAAAAAGACAAATTACCTTCTCAGCAACCTCCCGAACGCTAGCAACAGATGTGCCATAAAGATTGTCATTATACTGTCCAGCTTCAATAAACAAATGATTCTGTATATCACGTTCCATTTGTTCTCGTGATGCTACGAAATGATAATCGCGACCATCAACTTCATAATCACGCTTGGGTCTTGTGGTGTCTGTGGAAATAGGAAGCAATTAATTAATAAAATGAAACAGTGCAAATTAAGGTGTCTAACTTACGTGGTACACAACTTCCAAATTTGTCAGGAAATTCAGATATTAAATCATCATTAATACGATCTTTGAGCGGTCCCAAAATGATTACAGGACGCGTGTAACTGATTTGTAATCTTTGAACTGACTCGTATGACAAAACATTCTCTTCTGATACTGTGGATAATAATCATGGGATGAGGATGCGAATGTGTTAAAGGAATGAGGAATTATCATAAAATAAGGGAAAGAAGAAAAAGAAAGAAAAATTGTGGCTATTAAAAATCTATGAATTAAAATTTTACATCATGCGAATAAGATTAATATCTTCTTTTTTTGTGGGGTTCATTCACAAATGACATGTGCGTGGGGGCACTCACAATAATAATTAATTTTCAGTAATTAAGATGGGGCTTCGATATACTTCGAGTACTCAATACAAATTTATTACAGTAATGAGGGGGACTAAATAGCTCAAAATTGAAAAAAGATGTCATTTGTGTACGAGCCCCATTACTGCGCTTATTGAAAAAGAAATAAAATCAAATTCATTTTGAAGAGAATTAAGGAAAGAACTAAGTTCATCTAAAGAAATAAAACATTTTTCATATATTTTATGGTCGAAAGACAGAAAAACTTTTTTTTTTAAATAAATCAAAATCATGAATTATATTAATAGGAACTGCATGATTCAACTAAATCGAAACGAAGGAAAATTAAAGTTTGTTTTTAAAAACACAAGAAAATGATTTTAAATGATTTTTTCTTTTTCATAAATTCATAAAGAATCGTCATGTGATTAATTATCCATTATCAATCAATTTGATTGAGTTTTGCTGACTGAAACGAATTTATCTTTTAATTGAATTAACTTTCAACAACTTCAAATTGATTTGATCATGAAGAATTAATCAACGAATCTATTAAAAAAATTAAATGTTAAACATACAGAAATTTTCTTTATCTTCTACTTTTAAATGCTTTCGTTAATGTAATGAGAGAATCTTTCAGTTCTGTTCTCTTTTCCTTGACAGGTTTGAATTTTTCTCTTTTTCTTCTTCAAAATTTTGGGAATTAATTGAAATGTTTATAAGATTGATCATGATCTTGACAATCGTTTTTTTTTCAAGATATTATTCAAAATTTTGATTTACCATCCTAACAAGTAATGAGGATCTATAAATATATTTTTCGATTACTGATGGGTTTTTTAAAAACAGAAAACTTGTTTCATTTTCAGGAATGTTTCAAAATTATTTTTAAGATACTCTTTTGACTTAATATTAATATTTTCAATCTTATTCAAAAAACAGTACTTTACAGAATTTAAAGGTAATTAAATTCAAATTTTGATTTAAAAATTAACATTCTTTATTAAGCTTATATTATTTCTAAAACCAATCACAGATTTTTTTCATTCATTTTATTCCCTGATTTTGATCAATAAGTTCAAGTTGTTGAATATGTAAAATGGTTTGGACTTCTAGTCTGTGTATAGAAGATTCAGTTCCCAACTTACAGTTAAGAAAAATAATACACAATATACTTAAAGCTAATATAAACATTTTTCATAAACATCAGCATTGACAAAAGCTTTTAAATTATTTATAGAAGATTCAAAAAATTCGCTATGAGAGTGAAATTTCAGTTTTAAAACCTCATGAATAATAACATTCTCTATTCTAATTTGATCGTTGATTAGTCAAAGATATAAAAACAACATGAATCATACCCATTTATTATGTTATAGCAAAAAAAAAAAAATAGAAATTTTTCACAAAATATTTTAATATGAGTGAAAAAGGTGCAGCTACGAAACTAAATTTTTGTATATGTGTAAATTGTGCATTAATGTTTATTGATCTTAAATACTTGTGTTCTATTATTCTATGAGAAATTACATCAACTTTTGCAGATATTAATAACATCTAAATTGTGTTCGACAAATTCTGATACATAAAGTGCATTGACATCGTTATTTTAATTGCTAATATAAATCACATCCCGAATACTAATGTTAAGCAAATTAAAATTTAATTGAAAGCTTTTTTTTTTTGAGAGCATTTTTATTTCCAAAAATATCAAAGCGAAAAAATAATGAAAGAATATAGAGACAAAAAGTTGAGGAAAGTGAAAGAAAGAGCTTCTTCGCTATAAAAAGCATTAAAAAGAACAAAAATAATCACAAATTTCTTTTATCTTTTGCCAATTAAAATCTTTGTCCTTTCAATCTTGAAAGGATTTCTTCCATTGTATACTAAATTAATGAACAAATAATTAATAAAAGCATCTACCTTATGGGCCGTTCACTTTTGACGTCTATGGGAAGGGGGGTCAGGACAAAAAATTCCAAGAAATCCATTGTTCTTTTTTGAAAAATAACCGTTAATTTCGGACGTCATAAATGAACAACCCCTTAGTAATATGGATAAAATTATAAATTTATTTTAGGCATCATTGAGTTGGGGTGAATTTTTATTTTCGGATCTTGTTTATAACTTCATGTTACCAATTAATATTCTCTATTTACAGAGTTGTAAGATTCCTTCGGAAATCGAAACACAAAAAGGCACCTACATGAAATTAACCATGTTTTGGAATGTGGCATAGACATTTGCCTTTAATAGGAAATTGATAGGTGACAACTTTGTCTATTTAAAAGCATTTTTACTTTCTTGACAGTTAAATGTGTTTTTTTTGCTAAATTAGGACAAAAGATTTCGTGTAAAGAATTTAAAATCTTTGATTATGAATAAAGATCAAGAGTTCGACTCTCAAGGTTTTTATAGAAAAAAGTTTTTGCAATTTAAATTAGATTTTCTTTGAAAATTTTTGTAAGACAGTTCTTGTTTTCTGAAGATTGTCCCGCCTAAAATCCACAAAAGTTTAAATTTTTGTCTTTCTCGCATTTTGATTGCAAATTAAAGTTTTTTAATAAAAGACTGATGGGCTTTGCAAGAACCTAATAAAATTCACCCCCTGAGAAGTGTTGCAAAAGCTCTAAATAAGCAAAATAAAAAATAGTTTTTAATGGAAATTATCATTAAATTTTAAATAAGCGAAACAGGAAAACAATATTGGAATTGAAAATAAACAAAAATATTAAATTTTTATCATTTATCGATTTTTTTTACATAATTTCTTGTAAATTTCGTTTGTATCATTCCTTTTGTCAAAGGTAATCAATTGGTTTTTCAAATCTATCGTATTATTGGTTGATTTTGTTTTTTTTTTTTAATGTTGGGATAACGATTGAAAAATAACGAAATAATAACGTCATATATTTAGCTACTTATGGGAGGATCAAATGGGGGAAATTTTCAACTTCTACGCATATCAATGGATTTTCTTGATTTAAAAAAAAAATTAAATGAACTTTCTGAGAACTGGCAAAATCTAATGATCGCAATCCATAAATATAGTTTCAAAAAAATCCTATGAAAATGATAAATCGATATAAATAAACGAGATGGGACGATAAAGTCAGTGTTTCATCTATTCATTCATTTCTAATCTTCACACTAACTTAATTAACACAAAAAAAATGTTTTCATTTCGGATCATTGTCAAAAATAATCAAAAAGGATACAATAAAGATTTCAATTCTTAAAGAAATGTGTAAGACACTGAGATTTGTGAAATATACAATAATAAAAAAGAATTAAAAGTTTTCCAATAGACTTTAAAAAATATTAAAAAGGTCTGCATTTTCGCAAACTTTAGTTTTTTTTATTAAATTGGAATTTGGGGTAATATTCTAAAAAGTTTTACGAATATAAAAAAAACATTCGAAATAAAACACTTTCTGAATCAAGAAATTACTGTTGTAGCTTCTTCTTATTTGCATTAGCTTTTTTAGTAGAACGAGAAGTCTGCTCTACAAGTAGGTGTGACAAATACCTCAAGAGTTTATTTGAGGTAAGAGCTTCGTTCATTGTGATTTCTGACACTGAATTAAATCTCAAACAAATTAAATCGAAACAAGATAGATTAAATTTCAAAATAATAATTTTGAAGATTGTAAAATGAATTAAAGCCATTGATGTTGTTAGGCTGGTGTCAAAATTAGCTTTAAATTCACAATAGTGTTTCAATTCAAGACTGAAAGCATTGATCTAAGATATGTGATCCAGATAAAAAGATTTTAGTGATTAACAGAATGTTAGAATTAAAGCTTAATCAGATCATATTATTTGTAAACATTCTGTCCATGGGAATTTTTAACTTTCTATTTAACAGAGCTCGAAGTCGACTCGTGATGTTTATCGATTTTGTATGGCGAAGTCGACTCCATTAAAAATTTCATCGACTTCTAGCTCTGCTGTTTTACAATTGAAGCTAGTGAAAAAGGTAGAATTTTGTGTAAGAAAAGCTTTGTTGTTTTAATAACTTGTGATGGGAGGTTCAAAAGTAATTAATTGATTGTCAGAAAGTGCTCAGAATCTATGGTGAGAATTTGAATCATAATAATGTATTCAAAATAAATAAATCAAAGCATCATCAACAGTATAAATATTTTTTACGGATGGATAGGAGATAATTTAACGGGGATAATTGCAAATGATCGTAAAAAAACTTCAATGGGGAGATTTTAAACTAAATATGAAGGATCGTTTGTTCTAATGTGTAAAATTTGATAAACAAAAGTAGAATTAAAGACTTTTTTTTATAAACATTCGAATGGAATTGAACAGAAAAATTAATAAAAATGCTGATATGAATTTTTTTTCTCATCTACAATTTTAATCACTAATGGAGTAGGGGGAAGTAATGATCGTAATGAAAATATACTGATGTCTTAAAAAAATGATATGCTTTTCATTGATGAAGTTTGAACAGAAAAAAAGGAACTAAAATTGAAATGAAAAGAATGGAACACAAAATAACGAAAAAAATGTTGAGATAAAATTTTGAAAAAAGAATTTTGTGAGTGTTTTTTTGCTTGCATGACTTACAATAGTCAGCATCGTTATTTTCCAAGTAGATCATCGTAATTTCTTCCATATCGGGTAGCTCCACTCTGTAGATTATCTCGCCTTTTCAATTTTATGGGGTTTTTTCAAAGGAAATTTTTTTAAGGCGATTTTTAAATTTTTATCGCAAGTATTTTTTTCAACGAATTCGTCGAGAAAAAAGAAATTTGTCGAAATTAGGAGAAAAGAATTAAGTAAAAAATTAGTCTAGTTTTTGGTATTTCTCGTTTTGTTTCTAAAAACTATTTTAATTCAAAGAAAACAAATAAATTAATAATCAAAAAAATTGTTTTTGTTAAATTTCAACAAAAAAGTTTTAAAACATAAATTAATTAAACGCTTTTTAAAATAGACACAATTTAAGTAGTACAGATTAATAGTTTAGTGCTTTTTTCAAATTGAATTACTTCGAAATTTTCATGGATGACAAAATTGTTTGAAAATTTTCAAGTACATTTTATTTTCGATTTAATAAAAATAGGAAAAATGAGAGAAATTTAAATGAAATTCTTTCGAGACGATGAAAATTAACAGAAGATTTTGATATCAATGATTACAAGCTGCATAAGGGTGCATTCTGATAGAAAAATTTGTGTGCAATAAAAGAACTCATAAATTTTGAAATAGTTAATTTTAGAAATTGTTGTCGCTTCTTTGAGAATATTAAAAGATGGAAACAGTCTCTATACTGCTGATTTGCCAGATTTGTAAATGTTAAATGTCATTGACATTTGGTTAATGGAGATAAGAAATAATGAAAGTGTTTTAAGCAAATTCATAAAAATTGCAAAGAAGATTGAGTTCGATTCTCAAAATTTATATATAGATCTTGTGGATCTTAAAATGTTAACAAGTAATTAAACTTCTTTTTTATTTTTTTTAAATTTAATTAAATTTCATAACAACGACAGTTCTCCAGACCAGTAAATCATGAGAAAACAAAATTTCCAACGTTTAACCATGGTAGATGCAAGCATTTATTGAACTGTCCACGTAATATCTCAAGAAGCAACTTCAATCAATTAGTTCCTAGAAAATTTTTCAATATGAAATTTTCAATCGTCAATTAAATGAGTTCCAAAGTATAATCTCATGTGATCTCGATACTCTGTACTTCATAGACATAAAAATTACCGGTGAAAATTTCTAAACTAAAAATTCATCTGACAACTTAAAATTGAACAAAAAGCTCAGCAAATTCTCATGTGATTCACAATAGATTTGAAAAAAATATTTTTTTTTCTACTCCATTGCTTTTAACTTAACAATTGGAAGGAGGTTGATAGATAGATTATACATAACAATATCAAACTAAATCTTGCAGCAAGGAATACCGTGTTTTCGTGAAAAATGACCAAATAATGAGAAGTAGAATGGAAATTTTAATCAATTATTTCACGGCATATTGATCTCCATTATTATTTTCACGCTTTCAAGTTTGGGAGATTTTATAAAGTAAGTAAAATTCATTAAAAAGTGATTTAAAGTTTGTTTTACTGTTTAAAGTAAATAAATTAAAATCAAATAAATATAGCAATAGAGTGTGAAAAAATCAAATCAGAACGAAATTAAATTTCCAAGAAAATCAAGCCAATAATTTGTTCTTTTCTTATATATTCTGTTATTCATGAGTAATGTTTGAAAAAGAAAATAAATCAGGATAAGTAAATGTTTGAAATTGATTAGAAGTAAGTTTTGTCTAGAAGTTTTAAAATTCATGATTTTTATAGAACAATTCAAAAGTGTCGAGTTTTGTAAATTAAGCTTTTCTCAAAAATTAGAATTTAGAAAATTTTTTATTGAGCGACTTAAATTTGACTTAAATTTATATTCGTCATTTCTCAAAGCAATTGCAAAGTATCATAAAATAGAAAAACTCAGAGATCGAAGCCGATTTTTTCGGCTTAACTCAATTTTTGATTATTTTGATAGAAAAAAACCATTTAACACCCATTTTAAGTATTTAAATTGAACTTTACATGCTTTACTATGATTCTGTGAAATATATTTTCAGCATGTAGCTATAGTGAGCTCAGAATTTCAAGTTAAAGAATGTTAAGCCGAAATTTAAGCCGATCGGCTTAAAATCGGCTAAATTGAAATTCTGAGCTCACTATAGCTACATGCTGACAAAATATTACACAGAATCATAGTAAAGCATGTAAAGTTCAATTTAAATACTTAAAATGGGTGTTAAATGGCTTTTTTCTATCAAAATAATCAAAAATTGAGTTAAGCCGAAAAAATCGGCTTCGATCTCTGGAAAAACTACTAAACTTTTTAAATGAAAGGAAATTTTCTTTAAATATGTTTTAAAACCCTAGACAAACTCACTTCAATCTCTGACGAGCAATTGATAAACATATATGAGTATACGTTATACAAAAGCATTTGTTCTTCTTAATCTATTGAATTAATAAAACTTTTAATTACTAATTATTCTTCAATTAAAAACTGATAAAAAGAAGAAAGGAATGAAAAATTTGATTAGCCAGCGATTACACATTTAGGTATATAAAGGAAAAAGAGTTTATAGGCAAAGTATCGCCGTCTATTCTATTTTTTTTTTGTTTCAACATAAAAATAAATTTCTTAATCATAACTTTAAAGTAAAACTTTATATATTTATCATCATATTAAAAATTCTCGCGCTTTACAACAAAAGCCAACACTTAATTTTGATTATATAGTAAATTGGTATAAGTAATGATTAAATATATCAGTGTTGATAGATATAATGAAAGAAAATAACTCAAGATTGAGTAAGAATGAACACAAAATAACTTAAAATTTAAGAATATGAAATAATTCTTAGAGTGTGTAAACATTTAACAGAAATATTTATAGATATATAGATAGGATATAGATAAAGAATCACTTATCATGTTTAAAGAAAAGAAAAAGATATTTTTAGATGTTATATATAGTTAATACATATCCATTAATCACAAAGATTGTGAAAAATCGAACCATTGAGTACGCTAGTGTTACAATATTTTCCAAATCTAGTAAGAATATCTAAGGATTAGTTTCGGATGACATATTCTTTTTTAAAAAATTGATTGTTAATCTAAACATTTCTTGCGTAATCACTTTCTTCAATCAAACCGCACTTACACTTTTTATAATGGATTATATTCATCCAGTGGTATACAGTCAAAAGCATATAAAATTTATTTGTTTTCAGACATATGAAGCTTCTTGCTCAAATTGTAGAAAGTCTTGAAAATAGAAACTGTGCTAAATTGCTTAAAATATACAAATGCAGTTGTTTATTTCACTTTATTAGATATGTCTATTAAATTGATACATTTAAAGCTCAATATTTGTTTTTGATACAATCTGCTGTCTTGAATTTAAATTTATTTCCGGTATTTAATTGAATTTTTAATTAATCTATTTGTTTGCAGTGTTGGAAATTGAGTCTAAGATTAACTGCTTGCGAACAACTTATAATTAGCTTTTAACACAAATATTAAAGCAAACAACGGATATAAGAAGTAAAGACTTTATACCAGAATTTACTTAAATAAATCTTTAAGTGACTACGTATTATAATTCAACACTTTAAAGATTATTTTGCAAACAACTTAGAGAAACTTCCGAAAGCTATGATCAATGTTTGAAGGTTTAAATCCTGATAATGAAATTATCAAAAATAATGTAATGTAGTTGTTAAGATATTATTCTATTTTGTAAACTTATTAAGTTTTGATTAAATTCTGCATTATATAACCTTGAAACTGGTAGATAAACCGCAATCCTTAGAAGTTCTTTGGCTTAAATTTATAGTGAATAACCATATAAAACTTAGCACTAGATTTTCTATGCAACAATTGTACAACTAGAACACTCAACTAATAGAAAATTTCAAATCTTTGTAAATAAAATAATAAAACAAAACAGAAATTTTAAACATAAAAGAGAATTAAATTAACGCGAAAAAGTTCTTTAGTTTGTTCATTATTAGTTTTAGATATTTTTTGTGGAATTTCTTAAAAAATATCAAGGATTTAAATAACTTAAAAGAAATAAATTGTTAATCAAATAAGTTTAAAAAAACAAAAAATAGAAGTTATTTAAAAATAAAACATAAGCAATAAGGCTATTACATACCTTCAGCATTATTGGCATCGTCTTGTGTGTAGCATAGCATAAAAGCTGAAGGAATGGAAGAAGAAAGTTTCAATTAAATCTATTAATTTATTAGTTCTGAAGAAAAAAAAAAGTCAAAACTAAGAAAAACAAAATTATTATTAAATCTAAAACGATATTAAAACTCAAAACTAAACTATAACTATGGGATAAACTCAGGATTTATCAATTAATTAATTGGTTAACTTTTCTTTTAAAACTTATATGTTTATAAGAAGCATAAACAATACTAAAACTAGGATGACGAAATTATTTACAAAACTATGTTATGATAAAACATGAAACAAAACATAAATCATAATGAGAATGTTATTAATGAGTACAAAAAAAAGGTCATTCACTAATGACGTCCAACAGTTAGGGTGGGATACTTCTTTTGGGACAATTGGAGAAGGTAGAGATCAGGTTTTAAATTGACGTCATTAATAAACGACCCCAAAAACGGAAAAAAAAACATTTTTGGGGAAATTCAATGGGGTGGAAAACTTACGCTGTTCAGTGTCGTGATGACCATTTGTATGAATATTATGGTCAATGCCATTTCCATTATCTGATTAATTTTTAAATTTCATTATTTTTTTTATCATTTTTTAAAATGAAAAATAACAAAAATCATAATTTTGAGCGATAAACATCATATATAGAGGTATAGAGAGAGAGAGAAAGAGTAAGACGACAGACATCATAACAGTAGTTTACACAATAATATATGAATATGAGTGTGTGTGGTATGAAATTTTTGTGACAACATGAAAATAAAAGAAAAAAAAAAATGAGAAATAATTTTTTTTGCAAATAACGAAAAATAATTGAAATAAATTAAATTAAATAAAATGTCAACAAAATTATTATTATTATCGAGACTGTACTTACGTTCTTGATCTGAACCATCTTCATTCTTGCCATCTTCACGACTCTTCATGAACGGAAATCTTCGACTAAATGAAAAGTTTTTCTTCTTACGATCCAATGTTGATGTCTATCGAAGTAAAAATATAAAAATAAGTAATTGAATTGAGTTAATTAATCTAATTAAGTTGCTGTCAAGTGGATATAATTACTTTTTCAGAAGCATTGACAGGTGCTTGATATCCTTGAAATTTAACACTTCTGTCTCTCGCCCTTTGTTTTCTCTCCCAACGTCGTTTTGATGGCACAACACCGATACTGTCTTCCTCACCATCACCAATTACTCTTCTTGCTTGCCACCACTCGCTAAAATATTTAACAGTCATTAGTTGATGGATACGTTGTTGATTTTTGAGAGATTTAGACATGTTTTAGCAGAAAAAATTTGAATGACTCAATAGTAGCATTAATAGTAAACTAGATACACCCCTGAACTCAAATTATGTAGAAATTAACATCAAAATAAGTTTAGTTCCTTGACATTTCACAAGACAAAGATAAAATTTCGTCACAAATCCAGTTTTTAAATATCCGAAACTGATTATAAATCTGCAAAAATGTGCCATTGACTAATAAACAAATAACAAAACTTACTCGTCAGATGCATTTGTGACATGTAATATATCGCCATGTTTAAATGGTAAGCCACGAGTGGGTAATCCATCATCTCTATTTGGATCGTAATCAAATAATGCTCGTACATAGAGTGAACGTTTCTGAGATGTTCTCAAGAGCGTTCCAGTTCCTTGAACTGCCGCCGCTGCCTGTTGCTTCAACTCATGAATTCGTGCCTCAAATCGATTATAATCTTCGGGTCGATATTGTGCCACAAGTGTGACTGTATCACCGCTGCTTTTAAGTGCTGCTGCTGCCTCTTCATGTGTTGCAGTCCTCAAATTAATACCATTAACAGTTAACAATTGATCACCGCGCTTTAATTCACCACCAGCATCGGCTGGTCCACCAGCAAGTATGAATGATACGTAGATTCCCTAGAAGATGCATCGCATTTTTTTTGTGTTTGTTGAATGATAGAAGAGAAAGAAAGATAGAGAGACGACACGATGGACGTGATTAAAATCCATCATCAAAGTGTGTACACAAATGTTGGAAATTAGAATAGGTAGAAGAATTTTGGTAGATAGATAGATTGATAGGATTATAGAGAAGAAGGAGGAGAAGAAAATGCAAGCAAAAAAATTGTTTTTATGTCAAAATCATGCAATTTCAAATCAGTAATTTCTACAACTACCTGGCCATCCTCTCCACCGACAATATTAAAACCTGTAAGGTATAAGGAAAAGTTTTTATTAGTTTCAGTTCTTATTCTTTCACTTTTCCAGCAGATTACATACCTAAGCCTTTTTGTTGGCCTAAATCAAGCAGAAGATGATGGAAAAGTTTTTGTGAATCCAAAATTAGTACAGATTTTATTTATTAAAAAAAGTTTTAGAGTTTTTGGAATAATATGAATAAATTACCTGTTGCTGTCGATCCTTTATTTATTATAATCGTTCTTGGCTCTCTGGAAATATTAGAAGATTGATTTTTAGCTTTTTCCAGAAAATTCCCGTGAACTAAGTAAATTAACTTCATGACGAATCAAAGCTTGTCAAAACTATCTCAATTTAGAGATTAAAAGACTACAAGATTGATCGAATGTTATGTGTGGAATGAAAATGAGAGCAAAAAATAATTTCGTTTGCGAGAGAATGGTCTTGAAAACAACAAAATCTGTTGGATAAAATTAACATACATTCGTAAACTGTGCAAACAGAGAGAAGAGAAGACGTTGTTCAAATGTTGTTGAATGACAACTTTTTTTTCTTTAATTTTAATCATAATCATTTGCCTATGCGAAAATTAAGACACAGACTTGGTCACTCTACCACGAATCAATCTAGTTTATAAAATCTTTCGTTCATAAAAAAACGATCAGAATCAATTTGAAAAATCTCTGACAAATCTAAAATGTGTATTTAAATAGAGCGTGTACGCTTAAAAGAAGCCGGCATGTATTAAAAGCTTACCTTGTTATATCTTCATGACTAACAGCACGCGGCGTTGCCAGTGCATTTTGTGATGATGCGTGACGCGAAGAATTCTCTAAAATTGGTAAAGGTGAGTGTGTCCTGCCATCACCAAGATCATTTCCAATATTGTTCATTGCATTCATTGACTGTGAATTGGTTTGATTAAGATATGATGTACTGTGAACTATGTGTTGAGCTTTCGATATAGTCAATACGACGCGATCGGTTATAGCTTTTAATGTTGTGACTGCATCTTCGTGTGACACATTTTCTAAATTTTTATTCATTGTTTTTGTTTTTACATTGAGCAATTTATCGCCGATACTAAGTCGTCCATCCACATGAGCTGCTCCACCTTCCATAATTTTCGTAACATAAATTCCATTATCGCCTGGAATATGTTGATTTCCTATGCCACCGGCTATACTGAACCCTATTATGACGAGAAATTATGTTAAAATAATTATTACGGCCACAAAAGCTTCTTAATCAACATACCTAAGCCTTTGTCACCCTTCACAAGTTCTAACTCCAACACTTGTGCAACTGAAGCTGGACGTTTTCTTTTTACATTCTAAAATATAAATAAATTAAAGATATTAATCTTGAATGCTCAAATAGAGGAAGCAAAATCTCAAACTCACTAATTTAACTCTCTCTCCAGCACTTTTGAGTGCCTCGACGGCCATCGCATGTGAAACATCAACAACAGAAACATCATTAACTGAGACAATAATATCATTGACATGAACTCTTCCATCGGCATAAGCTGCACCACCGGGAATTATTTTTGTGATATAAATTGATGTGTCTGTTCCAATATGTGGATTATCAGTCCCACCGGCTATGCTGAAACCTATATTGATATTTTTTATGTTAGAAATATTGCATAAATTTATGTGAGCCTCAATCAAAGTTGAAGAAAATTTAACGGATAAAATTTGAAATGTTCATACTTTAACACCCTTTGAGTTTCAAAAATCTAAAAGCCGTTAAAAGTATGAATATTTCAAAAACGTCACAAATTCCAGCAAAGCAAGTTAATACGATTGCTAACCTAAACCACTGGAGCCTCGAGATAATGCAATTTCCTCATGCATCCATTGATCATCTCCATTGACCTGTTGATATGAAAAAAATAATGGATAATGAAAAGAGAAAACATTTACATGAAAGAATCATTCAACTTACTTTTGCATCCGTTGCTGATGCCTACGTTCATTAATTTACAATCATATTGTCGCATGGTGAATAACCGAATTATAAATGGAATTGATTGAAAAATAAAGAAAGAAAGAATAACAGAAAATTATTTTAAAATTCATTGTTATTTTACGGTTCAATGCATTTATTTTAACTTTACTGTATTGTAATTTTATTAATATTATTTTGTGAATCTTTATAACAAAATTATGAGGGAATACAAAAACAAAAATATTATGATAAGATAATATGAAAGTGCTGAAGAGGAAAGATTAATTGTTGTTATCAGCTATGGGGTAAAATATCTACTTCTTTTTCTTTAATGAAGCATATCTAATACAGAAATTATAACAACATTTCATTAATAATGATAACAACAAGGAAAAGAGAGCGAAAAGCCACAATACAGCCGCTTTATGCTGCAAAATATTTCATGTATGTTCATAAATTATGAAGTTTTTCTGTCGTGAGACATTTAAAATTCCATTTATGCTTAACATTTTATCAATGTATCTATTTCATGGATAAAGTACTTGCTGCATAGTTTGTTTAGCTACTCCTATATGCAGGTGAGAGCTCAAAATTGTTGACCGCATATTTTGAAGTTTTTCTCAAACTTGTTAACTGTTTTTAAAAATTTCAATTCTTAACGGTTTTCAAAAGTTCAAAATTAAGCAAGTTTCAAATATTCCAACTTTAGCGATTTTAAAAATTCAAATAAAATCATAGTTTGAACCCCCTTTTAGGACTGACGTCAGAGAATTAAGGACAAGATAATTAAAATAAGAATTTTAATAGTTCAACCTTGAGTTTTTTGCTAATTAAATAAAAGAGATTAACAGCCAATACTAAGACTTAATCTCATGACAATTAAAAATTCCAAAGCTCTTCAAAACTTTATGCCACAAAATCCTACAAAAACGTGCAGGCATGTAATTTATTATTTTAACGCATGAAGATTTAATGTCTAGGCAGTTACATAATTATAACGTTATCATCACCATGACATAAAGCAGTGAGAACAACATCAATCTATGCTAAAATAAAGCCACATATCATATTACAGTTTAATAATAAATATCTATCATGCACGAGAAGCAGCATTGAAGTAAGGAACGTAAAAAAAAGACATTTGGAACAAAAGTGGAATGGAACAAGCATGTAAAAAATATATTTTCTTTTTTTTCTACGCTCAGTAAATAATGAAATTATCGTCAGCAACACTTTTCGGCATGAAAAGTTCATCAGACGTAAATTACCCATTAACGAAACATCATAGCATAGAGGAATTAAGCTTGTTACATCACTTTTGAATAAAAATGTATTTTGTTGGGGGAGGGACTTGAACTCTCGACCGACGAGTCACTTAAAATTCGATTTTTACACGAGTCAAGAGTCTTAACCTTTGCGCCACTAAAGTAGTCATTTAGATATGGCAATTTTCAACCTAGTTCTTCCGTTCTGTCTTGATTTATTGCTCTATATACCGCTATTTTGACCCTCATTCAAAGATTTTCATATTAAAAGAACTTTTTTTATGTCTTGTTCCTCCTCAATATCCATTCATGTTAAGTAATCTCCACCACACATTTAGAATATTTTTATTTTACATCCACGTCGTGTTTTTGTGGCAAAAATATAGCAGAACAATAGAATCATTATCAATTCTAGTCGAGCAAATTGTTATTTGTTATTGCTGTTGAAAAAGAGACACACACAGAGTGTAGTTGAAGTTATTTGAGCTGGTGCAGCTAGATTTGAGGCGATAAGCGCATTTTTTCTGGATTTTACTGGGTAATTTTGTGGTTGACTGCTATTTTTCGTGTATTAACTTACTCTAGTGTTGATAAAAAGTAATAAAATTTCATGGTCATGATTGTTGTTTTCAATATAATCGCATTTGCCGGGTGCTATTTTGATTTTGGATTTTTTTCTCCGTTCATTTACTCAAACTTATTGTGTTGTGACTAATAAACACCCCCCCCCCCCCCCCTCTCTTTTCGAATTTGATTACCTCTAATTTCTTTAAATGTTTTAAAAATAACTGTCAAAAAATATTTAAGCACAAAGAATCAAAGATTTTTCAAATCTATTTTGACCGTTGAATTTTGTAATCTAATTCTAATTCATCTGACAAAATTATAAAACTCTTAATGTCGACTATATCATAAAATGTCCTAATTAACCCCATAAAACCCACCCAGTTATAAAAAATGTCACGCTAAAGTAACAATTCGAAAAGAAATTTAAGTGTACAGTCATTAAGCATGAATGCCAATATGTTGTTAAAGAATTTTTTTAGTGTTAATAGTTGACGAAGTGAAGAAGAACTAAATAAATACAAAAAACCGAGGAACTTTATTGTATGTATTCTTACTCATGCTTCAAGTAAAATTAATGTTTATAAATTTTGTTGTAACGCTTCTTTTAGCCGTAAATAAATGATATGACTGAGATATTCAGTCACTTGTTCATTCATAAGTTGCTTTTAATCGCTACCTATGAAGTCTCTCTCCTTCATTTTCGCATTATTTTTTCCGCAATTGACATAAATCTACTCCAAAATACCTTACCATACATTTTTCTAACCTAGCTACCTGATAAATTTTCATTTCGTTTATGACTAGTTTTTGTTAAGCTCTAAAAATTACATCCAAGTGAGACTAATGCTGATACTTGGAACTGGAAATAATGAAATTGTGATAATGTAATGAGATGAGCTACTAAGTGAAAGAGACATTAAATATGAATTAGCTGACTATTTTGGCTAAATTGATATTGAGATAACTTTTTTTATGAACTCACTACATTCCTCATTATCATTAAATCACATTAAATCAATATAAGGTATTGGAAAATACATAGTTGTGGCTAGTGAAATGTTGAAGTACTCTTGTGTCAATTTTATTTTAAGAAATATGAGTCTGAAGTTAATAATAGATTGAGTTACAAGTCGGGTTTGTCATTATAATTTAAAATTTAAGATGACTTTGGGAATCTGAGTATTAAATGCGAGAATAAAGTTTAACGGTTTTTGGAGTTTAAATTTTCAAATCTATCCTAGACACAATCCATTAGAAATTAACGTTTTCCTTTATTTTAATTATTGTTCATTTAAAGAAGGTTTGAAAAATTTGTAGGCCTTTAAGTTAATGAATAACTTAACAATAGATTCACAGATTTAATGAATTTTGGCATTAGTCAAGACACTCATAATAAATTTCAAAATTTTAAATTTGAATTGAGTCAAAAACTTGCTATAAAATTCAACCAACTTCCACCTTCAACATAATATCTTTTTAAAATTTCAACAAGGACAGCATATTGTTAGTAATTTACAGAGAGCCTAAAAAGTTGCGTATATATGTGATAATTAAAACCATAAATAGTAAAAGTCAATATTTATATTGTATGTGCGTGATGCTGCGACAAAAATGGGAATGCAAACTTGACCATAAATTTTGGATATGCTGAATAATTTGAAAATAAGAATTAAAAAACAGTGAGGCTCGTGACATTAATTTTAATTTAATGATTATTGCAAATAATTAGTTTTGATTATTTGTATAGCACCGAGCTTAAAAAAAATCGCAAATTTGTCGATAAAAAAGTATTCTAACTTGATGATTCATACGCAAAGCACACAGCATGTGACTCACATAAGATCGTAAACTGAAACGATTTAATTGAAAATGTTCAAAAAATATAATTTTATGGCACGAAAAATCTGTTTTAATGCAGAAAATTTCTGCTACAAATAAGTTTGTCTTGCGAGATTGAATTTTAAACGCTAATCATCGATATAGAAATAGAATGATGAATGAAGCATGTTTCGCTACCTTTAACTGACATTTTTGCTCTCATTCTCTCTCTTGCTGTTGTGTTTATGGAAAATGCTTTCATTGATGCGATTTTCATGTATTATTTTTAGATTCCTTTCCGTTCGTCGTTCTCCGTTGTCAATTTTATGTACTCTAGCTCGTACATTTAATTTTCATTCCATTGAGACTTATTGTAAGCTCTCACGAATCATTTAATTGTCGCGTGAAGTCTCATGTATGCTAACCGCCGTTTTTATAGACCCAATGACTCATGAACGACGTTTTAATGTTGATTCACATACATTTAATTTTCGAACAACGAGCTTGTTCATGTAAAATTGTCTTTATGGGGTCATTTTCTTATGACGTCTATCAAATTATTTATTCCCCTCCTCCCTAACCCATTTTTGCCTCATAATCTGTAATAATTGTCTCTTTCAGCCTACAATATCAAAAAATTAATAGACGTCACAATTGAATGATCCTACAAACTGATTCTTCAACCTGTACTTTTCGTTTTTGTTTTGCAAATCTGATCATTTAATTAAAATTCATTAAATCATTTAATTAATTATGTAAAATGTCTATTTAGAGACTTGTTCGATTAATCATTGGCTTTTCTGTTTCATGAAGATAAATGTTCAGAGTGCAAGTATTCGTGGATGTCACACAAAAACATTTTTTTTTTAATTTATTGTCCCTTCTCTATCTTTCTTTTTCTCATGTATAATTGGATGTTTGTTTAATAGGGTTTAGATGTTCTATGTGAATGTGGTCAATTGAGAATTAAAAGCATTCGAATGGATGAATTAATTAATAGTGAAGTGGAAATGTGGAGCATGCTGCTTTATTTAGTTGAAGGCTTATGGAAAAACAAGTGTGTTGGAATTGACAATTAAATTTAGATTTTACGAACTATATGAATTTGAATTTTTTAACACACTTTTAAAACTTGAATTTTGTCCAATAAAATTTTAAAAAAATCCGTTAAAACTATACAAATGGTTTGAAAATGTTTCAAAACAATTCAACAGGAGTTAAATTGAAAGCGATTGAACAACTCCCAAATTAAACAATTATAAAAATCCATTTTTCTACAATCAAAATTTCCCACTTTAAAATACACAAACCGCTTAAAATATTTCCCATATCCGAAAAAAATCATCAAAGCTACTCGACAAAAAAAAATCCCATAAATTAAGCACAAAAGTTCTGACCACTTCATTCACAGAGCACCCAAAAACATTTTCAATTTAAAATGAAAAAAAAAATTCATTGAGCAATAGCAGAAAATATTTAGATCAAGATCATAGAACAATGCAGATGTGAAAATAACACACTTTATAGGAATAATTAATATTAATAAACTAATCTAAGTCAATTGATAATTGAATTCATTGACAGTAACTTGATAATTGTGTTATGAAAGTGCACTTTGTGTTTATTTCCGATACATCATAAAATCATTAATCTTATGAAATATATGTTTTTGAATAGAGATGAATATGTTAATTGTATTGCATAGTTGTTGTAAGGTAATTCACAAGTCCGAAAATAAATGAAAATAAAATATTGATGTATAAAGAAAGTGAAATAAAAACAGAACAGCAAAGGGTGCGTCGAATGGGCGTGAAATACAGAAATATGTCCATTGCTTCCATAAAACAGCTGAAAGCACGCACGGGATGAGATTGTCAACCTATTTCTCTAATGTTGCATTAAAAAGGAAATCAAATTTCCGATTGTTTTTACTTTTTTTTATTATCATATTTCTCCCATGGATTCAATGTCAGAGTATAACAATGAAAATAGGTAGCAACGGGTGAAAAAGATAAACAAATACATAAATAAAGTAGTTAACGCAGTTTTAAACTCTCTAATCCAATCTATTTTCAGATTTAGGCGCTTATTCTCATTTATCATTAATATTTGATCGTTAAGTGATGTAAAGCTGAATATTTGTGCATGATTGCAAATGAATTATTAATGGTCAAAATAAATTCAAATTTTAAGGGGCTTCAAACTATGATTTTTTGAATCTCAAAACTTGCTTTAAAATGTCTCCTAATGCAGACCTGCTCAAAAAACCTTGCAAAAAGTGCACATAAATAGATTTTCTCAGACAACGTTTAGATAAGCTTCATAATTCACAAAATCTCACGTGTCTGGCTAGTCATTTAAACCAGCTGACTCGACAAAACGAGTCATAAGATGCATTATTAAACAGAAAGTAAACGAGATAAAACAAACACAACAACCGAAATAAAAATAAGAAAAATAATACAAAACATAAGTCTCATAATAATATTACCGTATCTAAATTAAATAATGATGAAACCTTTTTGATAAATCCACCGCCTTCCTTTTGCTGGCCTTTATTCTTCTTTCTCGTCGTCATGACTTTTTCTTTATTATTTTTATTATATTTGTTCTTTGTTAATATTTATTATCAATGAAACTTTTTTTTCACAAATCAGAATTAACTCTTTTCCTGCTATTTATTTATTATTTTTTTTTTCTTTCTCTCGTTTTTGTACTTAATATGATCGAGTGTCAAGTTCAGATTTTAGTATTGAATATTATGCAGGAGGAAAAAAGCAAAACAGAATTTTCACACTTCTCTATCTATAGATTATGTTATGTACTTTTCTTTCTTGCTGTATATAAACTATGGTATTGTGCCTTTTAAAATAAAATACAATAAGTTAATGTATATTAAAATTGACGTCATGTATTCCTCTTTGAGAATTGGACTTAACATTTTAACGGTTTTCAAAAATTCGAATTTAAGACGTTTTTTGTCTACAAACACAAGCAAAGATTCACTAAAATTGACTGTTTTAACTACTCAATGGCATGGTGCAGCAAACTGCATGCCTGTCTCCTATATCTTAGTCATTAAACGCTTGATTAGCCATCAATTGACTCAGAATTAAAATGATCGTCTTTGGTTGTACTTGTGAGTTATAACATAGAATTCAAAATTTTTTCAACCGTTAAAATTTTAAAAAATCTCATCTAGTCTAATCCACAATCCACAAATACAATAGTGGATACACACAGAGCTCAATGATCGCACAACGTTGGTCTTTTTTTCATTTCTTCATTCACACGACAATTTCTTTCTCTCTGATTTCCCTTCTTCTAATCTTCTTTACAGTTCACTTCACGTCTTGATAACAAATTAAAATGCATTTTATATTATTTTCATTAAATCGATTCACATTTAAAGAGTTTTCCACCAAAAAAAAAGTTCAGCTGAGTTGCTGGATGGATAGAAAAAAGAAATCAATGACGACTCACGAAATGCCGACACAATACTAAAATAAAATATAGGAAAAAGAGCTTCTGTGTTTCATGACTGCTCACAATCGCAAAAAAAGCAAATTTCGTTTTCCCAAAAAAATTAAATGAAAAGAAGAATTTTCATGTTGAAGGAGAAAAATCAACCTCGCGAAAAAAAATATACACAGAAAATGAGATTCATGATCGAATTTTTCAATAAGGAGGGTGCGGGAAATTTTTGTGTATATTTTCACATCATATAAATTGTTTAATGTAAAAAATTGAGAGAATATCTGGTGAACACAAACTTTTTGGTCACATATTTATAGCGGGTGATGAAATTTTCATTATAAACATTATTTTTTTGCTTGGGTCGCTCATTTTCTCGGCACTCACATCATGGGAAAATTTGTCTATTTTTATAATCTTCATTAATATCAATTTTTTTGCAATGTGAATTTTTTTTTCATTTGGTACGGAAATTATCACAGATGGTTGATTAAAGTGCATTTTATTCGAGGTTTATCGATTGACGTGCTTAATGATTCAGTAAATTGACAGACTGGAAACTTGTTGCCACATTGTTTTGACAGTGACTCATTTCTCATAAAACTATGACAAATTCTTCTTTTTTTGCTGATCAAACAATTTGTTTTTTAACGGGTTTTATTTAAATTGAACCGGTTCAAGTTTGAACTAAGTTTTTGAAATTTTTTCGCTTGATAGTTTTTAAATGTTTTACTTCCGTTATATTTTTAAATGTGGACATTACTCATCAATTGATGATTAACAAGAAATCTATTCTCTTATAACATTGATCTACAAGCAATTAATCACTAAGATCATCCAAAAAGGTATCTCCGAAAATAGAGAGAAAAAATCATTACAGCGGATGCAATTCATTATCGGCAATCCGGTGTGTGCATAAAAAATAAAGTCAGCCTTGAATCAAAAACCGCATAAACGGAAGAGAATATCCAACCACCTGTAGAATCAATGCTCTTTTAAGTGATAAAATATTCGATTTTAATAAAAATGGCATTTACTGTACTCGCACATATGAAAAACTTGTTGCTGATAAGAGCATAGCACACACATATCTTTCGCTCGACATAATCATAAAACTAAGGTTTCAGGTATAACTCTTTAACTGATAACAACAGCAATGACTTTAAACTGTATGTAATGGACAAATATTTTCCGATTTCATTAAGTATGTCCCTCACATGCTTACTGCTGTGAATATTTAAATAACTTATTACATAGGAATGCTAATTTTGTTCATCATTCATTAGCACAATTACGTTCGAGCGGAAATTAAACAGTACTTTTCTCTCTTTTTTTCGAGGTACCTGCCTAGCCTGACTTGTCTTTAAGTAGGAATTTAAAATATCTTATGTGAATTTTGTCACTCATTCAATTCTTTTTTTTTTTGCACATTCACTGTCCATTACTTGCTATTTTTTGTATGGTAAGTAACATGAAAGAGTAAGCAAGACTAGTTGGTGTGTACATGAAACCAAAAATATTTAAAATTCCATCACAATCCGAATTTGGAAATCACTATAAAAACAGATAAAAGTTTATTTTGTACACTTTACTCAGCACATACTGTGTATATATATCATAATTTGATTGCTCAATTAAATAAATTAAATTCTATTTCACTTCATTTTGTTTATCGTGGTTCATTTTTGATTAAATTAAATATTTATTTATTATATTCATCACTTCTAGATCTTCACTGTTTCTTTCAGAAGAAAACAATTCATTACAGCACTAAGTCACAACATACAGTCGGAGACGATATGTGTGCATAAAAAAAAGTCGAGAAATTCCTGTGCATAGAGAGAAGATATTGGGCGTATAGAAAATAAACAAACAGTTTGTGACATCATTGAGCGATTGTATGAGTTGTGAACGTAATCAAATTTTAACTAAGAAATTCTGATTGAAATGCGGCACCTTATGTTGATTAAACTATGACAATCGTTTAATAAGACATTTATTAATATTTTAAGGCACTTTTCACTAATTAAAAACTCTTAAAAACATATTAAAATTAAATTAAAAGCACGGAACTATGTTAAATGATTTTTCTTGCAATAAAATTGTACAAATACTGAATGAATAAGTATACTTTTAACGCGACGTATACTTCGGCACAAATACCAATTTAAAATTTTAACATACAGTTGTGTTATGCATACATACATGCTCAATTTATTAGTAAATAGCAAGCTTATATTTGAAATTTAACGGTTTTTGAGACAATCAAGTCAGTACGGGTTGTAAGTGAATCTGACTAGAGCTTTGTCGATTAGAATCTTATTGTAAATATATCAAGTTAATTAAATTAAAACAGGCTTCAGGAATTACTAAGGCTCGATGTCTCACCCCACACCAGCCCCGCACTTATTGAGGTGGATAAATTTAAATAAAAAACGACCGTTATTTTTTTACCCAGCTAGAAGTAAAATGCTAACATAAAATTACACAACTAAAGGGGGTTAATTAACGAATAATCATTTGAAGTCTAATTAAATGATTTTCTAAAAATGTAAAAAAATGAAAAACAACAAAAAAAAATTAAACAGAATTAGTAAAAATAATTAGTAAATCATAAATATGAACAACATAATTAATCAATAGACTATTTTTTAATGAGTAAATTACACTACCTTGCTAATGGGTGTTTCAGACTTTTGACGTTCGGCATTTGCTTGTACATTTTCGACCTTCTTTTCTTCATCATGTTTCAATCGATTCTGTAAAATTTTTGTGTTATTCCAAAGAAAAACGTGGTGTCAGGTTAAGCAGAAGGAAATGAAAATAGAAAAGAAAAATGTTAAATTAGTAAAAATAAAATGTGTGTGCATAATGAAATGTGACATTATTTTTTGTTATATTCCATGTGTGTGTGTAAATGTCGGAAGGAAGATAAGAGCATGTCTTATTTTTGGGGATTTTTGCCTCTCCACAAAGATGAAATGCGTTATATATTTTTGGTTGAATGATAATTAGGTATAGCAGATTCGAGTCAGATGTCATTATTTTGTGACTAGAGCGCAATTTTAACACCTTTTATATTTTTTAATCGATTCTCTAGAACTCTTTTTTTGAACTTTAAGGTGACCAATTTGGTTCTTAATATGATCACTTATAGTATGCATAATGTGTAAGCCTAAGGATACCTTAAATGCATAAACCCTTGGAATCAAAGCTATAATGATTTATGAAATGTACCGTGGTTAACCTTCGACTAGGTCCTAGTCACCAGGCTGAGCTTACGACATCTAAGAGTACCCTATTAAAAATACTCTTCTAGCATATCACAGTTCTAAAGAATAAACTCTAAATACTTTTTGAACCACGAAACAACTCTCCAAACTGTCAGGCATCTGATGGATAACTGACAATCTCAATTAAGGTTAAAGTGAATGAAAAATTCATATTTGTTTTGCAAAAAGGCGCTCAAAAAAAAGGTGCAAAAGAACACAAGACAATCATTTTTTTATTTTACCGGGGGAGAATAAAGGTAGGCGAAAGGTATAGAACGTAGGTATAGAAAGACAAGCAAAAAAATAAAATAAAATAAAATAAAATGAGACTATTCCTCACATTCGAAAAGCAGCAGGTTGACGAAATTCTCTCGTCATTTTGTGTTATTGAGTCACATCCCTGGCTTATTGTCGTTTTGTTATGATGATGTGATTTTGGAACATTAAAAAAATTTTGACCACGTCTTTGCCGTCCACCACCAGCGAAACTAAAAACTGAGAATCTTCTCCGTGAATGCCGAACAATTGAGACCCAGTCAATCATGGTTCAATTGAGTGGGTCGGGAACGAAGTATGATAAATGTTAAAATTTAACTAATGTGACTTTTTTTTTGATGATTATAAGTATATTTTGTTTTTTTAAGGGATACACTTAATGCTATCACGTCTTTCTAGAATTATTTTTAATCATTGATGAGATTTTTTTTTTTTTTATAAACTTTACGTTTTGTCACTTTTCTCATTTACTGCATTTTTAGCTTATTGTTTTACAGCTATTTTTAAAATATTTTCTCACAAACACGGGAACAATCTGTATTGTAGTCATTATCACCATCATTATTATTGTTGATTTAACTTCTATTACAAATAAAATAAATTAGTTCAATGTCCCAAAACAAAACATAAGGAAATAATATGTTAAAGGAACTTATACAGCTGCTTAATCAATGCTATTTAATGTCATTGATCATAAATCAAAATGTTAACGACTCTTTTAAAAGGAATTTTTTTTTATTGATGTTTGCCATATTTCTTCTCAGAAAAGAAAAACAGTAAGAAGGAGAATTGCTGTTGATGGATGACTTGAGTGCAATTTATTTTCGTGTGACTAATTGCGATAATGAATAATTAATGAAGGTTATGTAGGTTTTAAGTGAATTCATTTACTTTTTCTTACCCTGTTTTTTCGTTATAAGCTACTACTCGTTACTAAGCTACTAGCTTAGTAAAGTTTTTTTGAACTTGAAAATTTTTTGTAATCTTTACTAAGCTACTACTAAAAATATAGTTTAATTAATCTTTTTCAACTTTTTAAGGATCAGTTTCAATGTCTTACGACATTGTCAATGAAATAAAATCGAGAAGATAGCAAAATGTCTTTAATTAAGTTAAAAAATTCAAAATTTTCATTGAAGTTCAATTTCTTTACTAAGCTACTACTCGTTACTAAGCTACTAGTGATCCAAAAAAATCACTTTTTTATTCTTCTAAGCTACTAGCTTATAACGAAAAAACAGGGTAGTCTATTTTAACTTGACACGGCTTGAAACCATAGATTATATTTCTATGCTATTTAGGGACTTTGAAAAAATAAAATTGATTTGCTTATTAATTTCAAGAAATCTAGTTCAACAGAATGAAGCAAAGAAATCACATAGCAACAAATAGAATCCTCCAACTCAACTTCTTAATAATTCAAATGAAATAAACAAGAATGAAAAATTATTCAGACGAGAAGTTGCAACTTAAATCACTTAATTTCACACATTTCATCTTCTCATCCATTTTCACACAAATTACTCACAGAAAGAATTCTGTTAAGAAAAATACACAACAAGTTCTTTAGACAGATATAAATCTTTTTACAATAATGCTCTCAATAGAGATTTCACATATGTGATTGCCTACATGCTTGTCTTATACTTTACTGTTCATCTAACAAAACTTTTCTGTTATTCACGGAAGATTAATTTTTAAGCAACGTGTGTGCTCCTGCTCTAACTGATTTTCTCACTCACTTACATATCCCTCGTTCCTCAACAAAAAAAAAAATAAATCTGCTCACTTTTCATTGTTGCCTTTACGTTTTTCAAGAGAAAAGAAAAGAAATTCATCTCTAATTAACATTTTCATGACACGCAAAATTAGTTTTATTAAGACGAGGCACATCACTTATTTGCCATTGAGAATAATTTTACTCAAATGAAAATGTGAAAAATCTTTATTTTCTTTCTTAATCCTTTCTTGCGGAAAATTCTGTATCTGTGTGAATGTGTGAATGAGAAAAATAATCTGGCATAGAAAGATTCACACATCTCGAAGAGAAACAATAGAAAGGAGATGAATAAGAAGCTAAGATAATAAAAAAAGTGAATCTCGAATCTTTCATTATCAAACAATATGATTCAGATGCTTTTAAGATTAAGGAGAAGACTCTGTATGCTGAATATAAAAGAAGAAATACTTTAGTACCATTTGCATATATTCATATGATTGTTTAACTTGTCAACTTCATATTTTGCATCAAAAAGGAGCTTAAATATGAAAAGGAAGGTAAAGAAAACTCTTCCATGACGATGATCAAGACATAAAAAATCAGCAAGTAGCATCAAGTGTACAAATCAATTAGAGTGTATGAAGCGATTTCAATGGTCTGAGTTGATTCTTAACCTTCATATCTTGAAATTTTCGAATATTTTATTTGTTCACAGACAATCAAAAGTTTAGATTCTTTGTTTTTGATGAAGTTTAAATAAGAAAATAAGCCATGTTTTGGTTATAATATTGATCTTTCTGTGCTTATTTGTACAAAGTTTGATAATTAAGAGATCCCATTATGTCAATACTAACAAAATGATTGATTTCCGCCTTAATTTCCATTAACTTAACTTATTTAAACTTCATGTGAAAATTTTCCAGCTTAAATTCTCAAATGGAGATTAAATGTGAATAAAAGGAGTTGAAGGAGTGGAAACCATTGGAAAACTGTCTAATTTTCCTTATGCAATAGTGAACAGCACAGCACACCTTTCTAATAAAACGAATTGACTCAAAAGAGCATAAACTTCCATCTCATATATTCACCACCGTAACTCTTGATCCATTAAATGAAATTGAATCGAATATGAAAGACTGGCAAAAGAGAGTAAAGGATGATGTTTGGTGAAGCCATAAAGCATGTTGAATTCTCCAAAGAATGTGTAGCAACATGTTGAGTAGAAAATGTTTATACTTTATAGCAAATGTATGAAATAATTATTAAGCATACACTATATGAGATGTATTTCGTAGTATGTACCTTAAAATGTCGGATATAAAGCACAATTTTATTTATTTTGTGCCTTAATCTTTTGACTATATTTACTTATACATTTCTTCTGCATGCATTAATTTACAAAATGAAACATCATCATCGTCGTCATCAACATTCCCTGCCTTTCTACTACTCCTATATACATAAACACAGCATGAAGACATATCAACACAAAAATAGAACAAAAAAAAAATGGAAAAAAAGGAAATGCTTCATAATGGGAAAAGCACATTTTACTATGCCATTTTCGCATATCTATCCATCTCTCCTTCTTTTCATACACATGTTCTATTTTCAGAATACAAATTCAATTAACCATAAAATATGATGGAATGAATAAATTTCTCGCTCTTCCTCTCCATTTTTTTTTTGATATTTTCCAGCTATTCTGTTTATAGCTTGATACTTGATGTAAAGTAATCAACAAAGCAACTACTTTCTTTTCTTTTCTGATGATATTTTTGTGATAAAAGACCATAAAAAATGTGTAAAGAAAAG